AAAAATGCCACAATTTTTCAAAGCTCTACTTAAATGCTGACAAGGGATTGCTGATTGCCTTGTTGTGATTTTTAAATGCTGTCAATTTAATTACTGTTAACAACAAGAACATTAATGACTTGCAATAATTCTTCAGGTTGACAGATGTGATCCAGAGTGCTTATTCATGTAGAGGAGGGAGAAGGTGGGGCTTATTTGCAAGCTGCTAGAAGGGCAGTGACTTCCATACGTCATGCTTGTCCCAAATGGCTTTATATGTAACTTCAGGCACAGAAGGGAGTTTGCTGGCTTGTAGATTCCATCAGTTTGCTGAGAGGTGTGGTTTCTGACTGCTCCCCTGTTGGCTTCCTGACATACAAAGTCCTGGTCTTGCCACAGTTTCTGGCAGTTGCACGCTCCAGGTATTGCTTCCAGGCAAAAAAACAGCTAGTAAAGGAGAGCTTAATAGCTTAATACTAGCTCTTCATGGTCTTGCAGCCTTTGGCATCTTTGAACTTACCAAAAAAAGTTACTGCATCAAATGAAAGTATTTGTGTTTGATTGGTGGTGTGTTTTTTTGTCACTTGGATGGGTTTTTGTTTTTGTAGGTGAGTGATCAATACTTACAGCAGTTTATGAAACCTACTTGTAGACTGCAACGTTTATTTGCATTCACAGCTGGAATTGTACTGAGAGTGAGTCATCATTCTGCTTTACCCAACCTGTGAACTGAGGATTTCAGCCTTCAGGCAACAGGCTTTCCTCCGATACTGCTTGTTCTTCAGCTTGGTTCTGAAAACTGGTGCTGTTTTTTGTTGTTGTTCTGGGTTTTTTTTTTTTAAGTGATATTCTAATATAAATGATCAGAGTAAAACAGTTGATGCGCTTGGTCTTGATATGCTTTTCTCCAGCAATCAGCTACCTAACTTTCTGCATTTAGGGCATGTTAGTGTCTTTAAGGAGCAGTTTTTAATTCGGAAATGAGGATTTTTTTGTGGAGGGTTTGTTTTCTTTTTTTTCTTTTTATTTTTTGAGGAAATGAGTTCTGTGGCATTGACTCAAACTGGATAATATTAGGGATTGCATGAAGTGTAAATATTTGCAGGTTTTGTGTGCTCTGTGGCAAAATACTGTTTCTGTTGTGTTAACTCTTCTCTCAAATGAGTACTGACTTTTAACTAAGTCTTTACTGTATCTAAAGCATTTAAAGGGATTCTCTGTACTATTTGCTAGTTTTAAGCGGAACAGTTTCCCCTTTCCTAATTGAAAGTTAGGTCTGCATGCTGAATCTGTTCAGGAGAGAGACTTTCTGATTTCTGGTGCTATGGAAGTATCAACTGCATCAGGTTTTTTTCCCCTCTCTTCCTTCTTAAGCACTGTTCAGATGACCTCCACTTAAATTTCTGGGACTTTTTTTTCTTTCTTTTAATGTCTAAGTTACAGTTAAAGCCAGCTTTTCAGCAGAGAGAGGTATGTAAGTAGAATGAAACTTCTTGGAGAGGACGAATCTCTTCTAAGAGTGGTGTTCTGGCAGGAGAGTGTGGGAGAGCTCTTTGGCCATTTCATATGAAAAGAAGTGAATTAATCCTCAGGTTATGTTTCTAGTTTATTTTGGTAACAAAGACTAAAAGCTGAACTTTGAGTGTAGTATTGTGACAACTGTTGATTGGAATAAGCTTTGTTAGTGTGAAGGGGCAAGACATTTCTCCCACAGCTCAGCGACTGGGTCTTAGATGCACTGCAAGAGAAAAATACTGCTGTGATAGATGCCTGCATAAGGAATTCCCTTCCTCCCTTCTATTGCTCCTGCACTGCTATGGTGCTAAGTGAGAATTGTCCTCTGCCTGTCTGCTGCTGTCTGGTTACACAGCCTCATTAAAAAAACAGGGACTGCAAAGAGCAAAGCACTTGACTGCTAAGAGTTGCGGCAGAATCTGCAAGGCAGCCTCCCTGCAAGGCCAGCGGTCTGCTGAGGGACAGGTCTGGAGAGTCTTGCTCTGATGGTGACTTCAGAATTTCTGAGTTAATGACTGGATTTGCGTGGAAGAAAAGGTTAAGTGGATAATGTTCTGGAGAGGGTAGAGAGTAGGCATAAGCATGTTCTTCATTCAGGGATGTGCTGTCCTTTGCTGACAGAGATGGAAGAGCTTTGAGGAAGCCAGTTGTTTAAAATGTTGGCGGTACCTCAGCACTTGGAGCTCCTCACAATTAAAAGCATCTGTGATTCATACTGTTCACTGAGTTATTTCAGCCCTGAAAAGCAAGCTCTTATTTAAAATTTCAATTAGAGTACTAATTTCATTTGAATTTTAAGAGGAAGAGTCAGTTTTCAGCCTACCTTATCTGAAAATCCAAAGCTGTTGAACTACAGAATACGGGTAAAACAACTGTCTATGCATTAACTGTCACGAACGGAAGAGATAAATATACAGTGTACAGGTTGGCATGAACAGATCAAGTCATCTGGGCAGCAGAGGAGCAGATTTATCTAAGCCAGTGTTGGATATAACCCACTAGTATTCACTGTAAGACATGGCATATTCTTAGTCTTCTAAGTGTCTATCTTGGAATTCAGCAGACAGATTTTAAAATCTTTTGTTTCTACCTAAAAGTTCTGTTCAGACTCACATGCATATCCAGAAATCATCTAATACAGTCTTCTTTTCATCTGTAAAAATGAAAATTACTTTTAAAAAATACAATTTTAAGAATCCTAAATGAAAAAAAAAATTAATGAAAACCCTTGTTTTTCTTTTGTGTATCTTGGGGTTTCAGACTTAATCTCCTCTCATTAGAGCTTGGAGAAATAACTTTTAAAATTTAGGAAAGGGGGATATACAAAACATTTAGTAATAGGTGTGTTAGCTGTGCAAACCCTTAATTCTTATACATGTCTAACTTATTTTCAAATACTGAGTTATACTATCATTGTAGAAAATAGTACCACACGTATTCGGAAAAAAAAAAAAGGAGAAAAGTTGTGGCTTTTGGTGTGGTAAAGTTCACTTTACTGAAAAATACTGAAAAATTGTTCTGTCACAGAATAATCATCACTGCTTAAATTGTAGGTTAGAAAGCGGAATGAAAGCCATGTTATTGATACCTCACAAAACAGATGACTGGTTGTCCTTCATTTGCTTCTTTTCCTTTTTTTGTAATAGTTGTAAGGGTTTAAAATGGACTGATTAATTTAAATGTGATATTATAGAACCAGAAGGAAGATTATACTATGACAGAAGTTAATATTTTTTACAGTTTATTCTTCTATTCCATGCTATAAATATGAAATTACTGTAATCATAAACTTCATTAATGTGGGTTGCCATGATGCTTTGTAAAGCATAGTTGTCTTACTGTTATTGTCAGTTGACTTTTGATTTGCTACATGGGTTCTTGCCTTAAACCTTTCTGTGTAGTAACCATATATTCCAATTCTTAGCTCTGAAGTGTTACGTTTTATCTTGGAGGGAGAAGACTCTTGCTGTCATACCAGTAAAAATAGAATTATCTAGATGAAGCAGAAGAGACTAAAAGAAAGAGCAAGCTTACCAGCACTGCTTAAAAGGAATCCAGACTTTCTTATTTGAAGGTAGAATGCAGCATATACTTTATTCTGGCAGTGCGTTATTACATGACTTAAAATTATGCAAGGCTTTAACTCTTCCCACCCCACCCCCCTCAGGCCTGTGGGGTGCTGATTGATAACAGGATCTATTTTTCTTTCTTCCTAATTACTCAATTTTTCAGTGTTTCAGCTAACGTTTCTCTGGAGCTCAAAACACTGCATAAAATGTGGGGGGAGGGTTGGTGGGGTTTTTGTGTTTTTTAATCAACACAATCATAAATGATTATGGTTATGTTGGGTTTGGATGGTTGGTTTGGGGGGTTTTTTTGAGAGCGAAATATCTCTAAGGGCCAAATTTTAGGTAAAGAAAACGAGAAGGAAGTTAGGATGAAATAATTAGTTTTCTTTTGTATATCGTGCTTTGTATTATCTGGATACTGGGATGGATCAAAATTTTTAAGTCAGCGTGGGTTGATTCTTTTTTTGTTGTTCTTATTTAAATCAAGACTGATCTTAGTCAACTTTAATCCTGGATTGTGTTTGTAGTTTTTAATGACTATACACTATTTTTAATCAAAGCTTCCCTTGAAGTAAAAACTGAAGTTTCCCTTACTTGCTGCAACCTATTTTTCTTCATTGCTTAAAGACCTTGATCAAAACTTGGACACTGTCAGTGTTGATCTGTAACTGTGAAACATCTTTTACTCTCATCTCACATCCTGTGAAGGAAATGGAGCATTTCAAGCAAAACAGGAGATAATGTAGTTATGTGAAAATGTGACAATGAGCAGGATACTGCTACCATCTATTCAGCAAGCCAGAGTTATTCTAATACTTAAATTCTTCTTTGATTTATAACATGATTTGTGTGGGGTGTCTTGTTCATTTGTTTTATCTAGGTGACTCTGGCTCAAAGAGGTGATTGTGATTTTTCTTTTTTTTTTTTTTTTTGGTCTTTTTTGCTGTAAAACCTCAAGTAAAGAAGAGTGGTTTCTTAATAACTACTTTTTAAATGTGTAGAGTCCCATATAAATGATGTCTTTGCTTGACTGTGAAGTTTAACAGTAGCTATCCAGTGGTAGAATTCTTTCAAATGTGTTGTTAAAATGTACCAGAGAACTTCTATGTAAATAGTAATTGTGTCATGAATCTTGTTATGTTTTCTGTTGCCTCTATGGGTAAACAAAAAGGCTTTTCATTATGAGATGATCGTGTTTAGAATTTGCATTTACTGGTCTTAACGCAACACCAGGAGATAATAGTTTTATTGAATGCTGTCAGGTATTTCTGTTGTTGATTTATCGTAGTAGTTCTTAAAGTTCTAAATTTTTTTAATTTTTTTTCCCCTCCTCGCCAGACTTTAATTTATTTTGGATTAGGTTTCCCATGGCATGTGAACTAGAAGATAATTTGAAATAGAAGGTCTCTTTATTTTGAAGTGACAGTCTTTATCAAAATGGTTGGAAAACTCAAACAGAACTTGCTATTGGCATGTCTGGTGATCAGTTCAGTGACAGTGTTTTATTTGGGCCAACACGCTATGGAGTGTCACCATCGAATAGAAGAACGCAGCCAGCCTGTGAGGATGGAAAATGTGAGAAGCACAGTAAGAACTGCTTCCAGTGTAAATGCAAACAAAACCTTTGCTTACAACAAAGACATGCCTTTAATATTTATTGGAGGAGTACCTCGAAGTGGCACTACCTTAATGCGTGCCATGCTTGATGCCCATCCGGATATTCGATGTGGAGAAGAGACAAGGGTAATCCCGCGAATTCTGGCAGTTAAGCAGATGTGGGCTAGATCAAGCAAAGAGAAGATCCGACTGGATGAAGCTGGAGTCACAGATGAGGTTCTAGACTCAGCCATGCAAGCGTTTTTATTGGAAATCATTGTGAAGCATGGGGAGCCTGCTCCATATTTGTGTAACAAAGATCCTTTTGCTTTAAAATCCTTAACTTATCTTGCTAGAATTTTCCCCAATGCCAAATTTCTTCTAATGGTACGGGATGGTCGTGCATCTGTGCATTCCATGATATCTAGAAAAGTCACAATAGCTGGATTTGACCTTAACAGCTACAGGGACTGCTTGACCAAGTGGAATCGTGCTATAGAAACTATGTATAACCAGTGCATGGAGGTTGGTTTTGAAAGGTGTATGCTGGTACATTACGAACAACTCGTATTGCATCCTGAAAGATGGATGAGAACTCTCTTAAAGTTTCTTCGCATCCCGTGGAACCAAGCAGTGCTGCACCATGAAGAAATGATTGGAAAAGCAGGGGGTGTTTCTCTTTCAAAGTGAGTATGAGTGTTCCTCCTTTACTTTGTATTGTTCTAAGAGGTAAAATAGTACATTTTGCACATAAAAGACCAGTCATAACTTGGTTTCAGTTTTTAAGTAGCTAATGATGTCTCAGGAAGCTGATTTATGATGCATATTACCTGGAGAATAAGAATCATTGTTAACTAACAATTTGCAATCAGAGATTGCTCCTGCTAAACAATTGTCCTGCTAACATATGTGTATGGAGCATATGAATGAACTTTTAATTAATTATCAGTCTAACTTGAATTTGGATGTCTACTATCAGCCTTACTTCTAATATAGCTTTGCTTTTCTCTGTGCCCCAAAATAATGCTGGACTGTTTTATCTAGACTGGTGTTATTCATCCTAGCAAGATCACCCGTTTGATTTCAGGAACTTAAGCATTGTTGTAAATGCAAGAGTTACATTTGCCAAGAACATACTCTTCCAGGAAACTTGAGAAACTGTTCCAATAAAATAGAAAGCAGAACTGGCGTGCTTTTCTGTTGGCATGTGCTCCTAAAAGGACAAGCATTTTGAATAAAATTAATCTTCTTGTAAGCAAATCTCTTGGTATTCTGTTGTGCCATCTGTGCACCTGATTAGCTACTTTCAGAAACCAAAATCCAGCTCTGCTTAGAAAACCTAGATAGGTATTGTGAAGGGGGGAAAAAAAAAGTTAATTCTCCAGTTAAACTACTCTATTTGGTTTCTTTGCTGCTATTTACAGCTGAACAACTGAAATATGGAAGCTGGCTAGTCTTTACATTGAGGGGGAAAGGTGTAAATGTTTGAATCTCTCTTCTTATTTTTGCTATGGCAGATATGTCTACCAGATTGTCTTGTTTGCGTTTCTAAAATATTGATCAAAAAGCCCTATTCCAGCAGCAAGGCATGCCCGGTTAAATTCCTTGGCTTCTGTTTCGTGAATATTCATCACTGGCCAGGTGCTTCTGAGTAACAGAGGCACCTTGCACAGCAAGCAGCGTGGGCTGAGTAGAACCATGTCAAACTGTTGAATACAGAGTGATTCCATTTTTTTAAAACTACAGTTTTGAGAAATAAAAATTGAGAGATTTTGTTTATTTAATGCTAGGGAAGTGACTCTGTGGATTTTCTAATATATTGTAGGGGAATGCGATTTAAAGCAAATAATAGAATTATTAGTCAGCAGCTACAAAGAACTTAAAACTCAGATAATGGTTATACATTTACAATCTGGAGGTTTCGCATCACCATTCCCACTGAAGAAACGCAGCCACCATCACTGTGTTTGCAGAGCTATCAGGAAAGCATCTCAACCCTTTTTTCTGCAGTATTGTTCGTTAGCAGAATGAAGCCTTCTGATAATGTTAACCTGAAGCAGTGTACTGTCATATGTCTCTGCAAGCTGTATCTGCATGTGAACTTCTCTTCAGTTACCTGTATCATGTTACTGCTTCTCGGTGACAGCTGAGGGGGAGAGTAAGCTTACTTTTACTGATATAAATAGGTGGTTGTCAAGTTCTGTTAAGTGTCCTGTAAAAATAACTATGCATAATGCCATTTCTAGTAAAATACTACTACCTTACAGGTTCCAGATTAGCATTTTTAAAAATTAATGGACCTCTATAATATAAAACTTGGTAGCCTTACTGAATTCATACAGTTTCAAGTAATATTTCTTGATAAATCTGGTAGAATGGGATGTGAGGAGTTGAAAATACTTGTTCATGTCTCTAAAAATGAAGCAAATGGATTGTTGAAAGTAAAAAGTGGCTTCATGTTTATTTTTGAATCAAACTTTCAGATTTAAGACAAACGAGTGTGAAAGTGTTCATGTCACCCTCAATTCAATCCATTCACAGAATTCTTTATGCTTTTATTACCTCTCATGAGATGATATGTGAAAGTAATTTATTATTTCAGAAGGCTGTGGCAATAGTGGAAAAAGAACAAGTTATTAGTGTTTTGTCTGTGGTGTTTTTTATCTAATCAAATACCCTTGAAATAGGTGGTGACATTTGTTTTTCAGTTGCAAGAGACCTTTATAATTTGATAATGATTTCAGTGACTCAGTCTTTCAAGGGCTGCAGAAAAAACAGTGAATATGAAATTCTCTTAGATGTCTGTTTTATGTATTTATATCATACTAATTGAAATTGTGCAGGTGAATTTGATTTCCTTGTACCAGTTAAAACCTGCTTTTGGCATCCCTGGCTCCTCACTGCCCTCTCGTGTGCAGCAGAGTGCTGTGGACAGGGACAGCTGCCTGTTTAGGGGGTTCTTGCCCAGACCAGGGGGTAACTGCCCAGAAAAATTACTCTTTAAAAGATGCTCAGTTTACTGAGAACTTTAGAGTCTGCCACAGCTTATCAAATTCTGACAGCTGAACAAAATATACTTTGCATTAGACTTACTTTTCCTTCTATCAAGTTGCATTTAGCTTGTTCTCAGCTGCAGCAAAATTCCTTATGGCCCCTGGGTGTGCGTGGCTGTTACATTCTGGGTCAGGTTCTAACCAATGTTGTTGTCTTATGACCTAGAATTTCTCTTTGGGCTTACTGAAGAGTGCTGTTTACTTCGCAGTGTGAATACTGTCGTCTTTCAGCTGTAATAACAGAGTGGAGCAGTGGAGCTCCATATTCTGATTAGTAGGTTTTTCCCACCTGACTTTCCAAAGGATAGTGCTGAAGATCACTTCAGAGATAATCTAAGGAAATTCAAAATGCTGCTGTCTTGCAACTCTCTCTTCTCACAGAGCTTTAATTTACCACATGCCTGGTACCAAGTGCTTCAGGCTGTTTCATAATAGTATATTAAAATGAAAACACTTAAATTATATTACAGTTTTTACTGGCAGGAGGAGATCACAGGTACCAAATAATTTGTATTGAAATGTGACATGCATTTAAAAGTTACCAACGCATGGGCCTAGCCTCTGTAGCATAGTAGGGAGAGTATGAAGATCTAGATAAAATTATTTCCCCATTTGTCTGCAAGGTATTAGGTAGGGTATAAAAACCTCTGAAGTCAAAGAATGAACTACTATTATAAATCTGCAAAGGCTGTGATACTGTGTAAAGACTTAAGTAAATGCACAGAGAAACCTGTCTTAGTCATCTTCCACTCACCATTAAGACTTTCAGATCTTTCAGACAGTCTCAGCATCTACTTCAGAGGCATGATGCCTGCTCAGGTCAGGTCCAACATCAGATGTTTGGATGTGTTTTAACTGTTGAAGGGTTTTTGAAAAGAAATCTGACATGAGTTTGTTGTCTTGAAATATTTTAAAACACTTTAAGAAAGAGATCGTGGTATCACTAAAAGATCTTTATAATGATGTTACTACCTGGTGACAGAAAGCAAATGTTTATATTTTTAACTCATCTGAAATAAAAGTTAACTATGTCAAATGAAATCTGTATCAGATGAATGAAACTCTAGGTCAGTGTAAGGTGTTTTATTTTCAGTTGTATATGGAGTTAAATTGTGAGTGCAGGCTGTTTCTCTTCCAGAGATGAGCTAGCCACCCAATGGCTGGCAGAATTCTTCAGGCAGCGAGCTGATTCCCTTTTTCTCTTATTCCAGACTCAGAAACTCTTATGCAATAGTCTGTTACTAGCAAGATTAGATACTAGACAGTCTGTATTTAAGATTCTGACTTTGTCTGTTCCCCTGGCTACTTGATTTGAGGTAACTGTTGACTGCCTTACTCTCTTCTACTGCATTTGCTTAGTAATCCCTGCTTTTTCTGTTGCTCATGCAGGCCTAGCCTCACTGTTGTTCTATTTTACTTAGTATTTTTGCCCCTTATTTTGGTTTTTATCCAGCTGCAAGGAGAAACACTGCAAAGGTTTTAAGGGTGTGCACCGCAGCATTTGGAGTAGTGGGAAACGTTCTGTGGTTTGAAGTAATTGCCAACGTGGCTGTTCAAGGAATGTATTATGGCTGGACTACATGCTGTAACTAGTATTGTTAATATAGCTCTGGCATTTGCCTCCTAACTGCAAACAGCTGTGGTCACCACTGATGCAAAGAAATGTCAACCCTTTTATAGCAATTTTTATTAGGCTTATTATGAAAATAGCTGTCTAGGCAAAAGTACTTCAGAATATACTATTTTTAATACATACCTTTCATTTGGTTCTAGTACAGATGTAGAAGTATTTGGGGTTAGTCCTGTGTTCCGTGCTACCAGCTGCTTTCAAAGCTGAAACTGTTCCTGTGGTTTTGCAGTGGAGCCTGGAAGCACTGACCAGGCAGCATTTGCCATATGTGTACATAATCAAATTTGCCAAGACTTGGTATGTTTCCTTGTTTTGCTCTGTCTGTTTTTTTGGGTGTTTCTTTCCTCCTGTCCCCAATCTGTCTTCCCCCACACTCTTCAGATGTTCTTTGGTCTGAAGAATCTTTCCCACGAATTGTGTTTTACTTTTCTTTCCACCTTAACTGAAAGGACAGAAAAGTATTGAAACAGAAGACCAAATGTGGTAGAGTACATTTTTTAATTGGTGCCTAGGAGCGGCTACATGTAGTCCCCTGCTTATCTCTTGCCAGCCATTAATCACCAGGAAATGTTTCATGTTGCACTTGTGACCAGACTAAAATGACAGTGGGGCAAAACATACACACTTTAAATGTGCTTTTACAACAGGATGAGATATCCATATGTGTACTAATTTAGGTCCTAATTGATATATAGGACCCATTGTTTTGGGGTTCCAATAAGCTATTAGCCAAGCCTATTACCTGGTTCTCACAGTATCACCCTTATTTTAAATGGTCAAATCAATCTGCAGTTTTGGTGAAGGGATTTGGGGCTTGGCTGGCTCTGTCTGAGAGGGAGAGGACTGTAAATCTTATACTTTTCAAACACCTAGTGATAAATTTTTATTGAGGGTCCCAGCCAGCATGGTTCTGTGGACTCCTGACTGTTGTGGTGCTTTGTCCTCTGCCTTGCCACTTTGAACTTCTGAAACTCAACTCTTAACAGCTATTTTCTTGCTAATTTGATGTGAAGTCAGATGCTCATCTTCTAATGAGAAGTATCAAAAAGGCAATGCCCAGACTTTTTAGTTTGCTGTACAGACTTGTGATGTCAGGCCAATAGCCTTCAGCAAGGCTGAAATTTGGTTGCAGCTGTCTGGTCCCAAAATCCCATTCCGAGTTCTGCCTTCAGTTTGGACTACTGAATATGGTTGAAGAGAGTAAGGCTGAAAATTCTGGGGGTTGTCTTACAGTTTGTTGTTTGTCAGGTGCTTACTCATCAGCTTCCACAGCAATCTGTGAACGCCCTGCTTGCCAAGACAGTTTCCCCATGGGTGACCATTTCCCTGTCTGGTTTGGTCTTTGTTGATTGTGTTTGAAGTTACTGACCTTCCAGCATTGTATGACTAACTTCCTTCCTCTCTCCTGGAAGAATTTTAGCTATGATGAGAAGTAAAAAAGAGTAATAAGGTAAAGACTGGTGTTTAGATCAAATTGAGTTAATGACTGGCAGACATGCATGCATAGTTTATAATTTCAGGCTTTCATTGCACAGTTCAGTGTGCATCTGAATGGGATGCTTCTTGCTACTGATTTAATGTTTGCTGTGCAACAATTTTTCAGCCTCTTTGACTCATGAGGTTAATTAGATAACTGGAATCACACTCGTTCCTCTTGTAAGTTGACTGATGTCAGTCTTGAGAGCAATTTTATTTTAGTTCAGGCTTTTGGACTTGGAAACTGTTGGGAGTATATCAGGAATTTTCCATTTATTTTTCTCAGAAGATGTTTTCTCATATTCTACCTGCTATATAACTGAAGAATTAGCTGCTTGAGAATTAATTTGAATCTCAGTGTTCTCATTCTTTATCTTGTGTAGCTGAGGTACTGGTGTTATACGTTGTACTGTTACTTTCAAGTATAACAATTTCGTTTTCTGAGTGGTAGAGCTTTTTGAGATCAAAATGCTCTATGATGTAAATAAGGCCTGGGAAGGGTGATAGCTGCAAGTGGATGTGACAGCTGTATGCTTAGCGTCAGGTTTGAGGCAGGCAGGTATAGCCAGCCAGCAGGAACTACTGATACAGTGGCATACCTTATGGTATTACTTGCAATGCAGATACAAATATTCCTTTAGGCAACTTGTATATACAGACCTGATTTTTAATCTGCCTTAAAAGAAAGATAAACCTTGACATGCAAAATGCATGTGCAGTCTTTCTGAGTTCAGAAAAAAGTTTTAAATTACTCTGAGTAAAAACTCAGAGTTTTAAATTATTCAGCCTGTTCTGAGTCCTGCTGGTGTGTTTCGGAAGAAAACACATAAAGAAGTTCTATGTCCTCTAATGTGGGAAAGGAATGTGGGAAAACAAAGTGATACCAGGTTTCTTCCCTTGGAAAAAAACAGCAACAGCAAAACCACACAATAAAACTAGGGTGCAAGAATGAAAATTACTTTAGGACTGTTGATTAAATGAGCAACAAATCAACTATTTTCTAAATACAGTACATATGACACTGCTATGATTATGCACTTGCCTTTAAGAACTGTGTAATGACCAAACACTCAATCAGTAAAAGGAATGGTTATGAAAAATATTATTGCAGTCTATAGCTTTCTGTCATTTCCATAGGTATCTCTTTTATTTACCAAAAAAAAAAAAAAGTTTAGTCACAGTATGGGGGGGGAATAAATGGCACATGGATTTTAATTTAGAATACAGCCTTCAGGAGCATTTAAGACAAGCAGCAAATGCAGGAATATGCCAGTGGGAAAACAGCTTTACATGTAGGTGTGTGCATACTTTTCACCTAACAGCTCTTTGGCTTTCACTGCTGGCTTTACGTAAAGAACTTGCTTCAGTTCATTCCGTGTGAAAGCCTAAACCAGAAAGCATGCATGAATGTTGTGCTAGTTATTCTCATTTTAGCCTTATGGAGTAAAACTTCACTTCCCATCAGCTCTGTAGAAAGATGAAATTTTGAGAGGGAAAGAGAAAGGAGGGGAAAAAAAACCCCAACAAACAAAATAAGCTAAAGGTCTTAATGGTAGTGAAGCGAGTATTGTTTGGAATGCAAAATATAACCTTTCTTTCTCCCTCCACAGGGTTGAAAGATCTACTGACCAAGTAATCAAGCCAGTCAATGTGGAAGCACTGTCAAAGTGGGTTGGGAAGATACCTGCTGATGTTTTGCAAGACATGCCTGTGATTGCACCCATGCTAGCAAAACTGGGCTATGATCCATATGCCAATCCACCAAATTATGGAAAGCCAGATCAAAAAGTTGTGGAAAACACAAGGAGGGTAAGGCATTTTTGTGTGTTTAATTATAGACCAAATGGATGTAAGCTATGAGCAGGAAAGTCTTATGTTTTGGTTTTTTTAAGTCTGTTTCTAACACCTTTTGATACTTAGCAATATGGGGGTTTTGCCGTGGGGGGAAGAAGGAAGGATTCTGTGGGACCTTGAGCACTGAAAGTCTGGCTCCTGCTGTTTGTCTTCAGTTTGGTTCATCTGCCTTTACTCCAACCCCAGGCTTGAGCTGTGTTCTGTGGTATGTGTAGCTGGACCTCTTTAGAATTGTCCAGATACTTGGGGAACTGGTTAGTAGTGGAAAAAGCTAGCATTCTTGCCTGGGCATCAGACTTGATTGATGAGCTCAGCTTTTTGTACATGAGGGTTGGCAGAAGCTCTGCCGCAATATTGCACCCTAAATACTTGGTAGAATTTGAAGTGACCCATGAAAAATGGCCCAAGATGATCAAAATGTCAGATTTTCCAATTCTTTGCTGTCCTTTGTAGAACAGACAAAAGATGGAGGAAGGTCTGGTGCTGATTAACGTAAACTTAAGGATTCTAGTCTGAATTTAATGTTGTTGGAATTTGGGTAGTTAGGCTATACAGCTGTTTATCCCTGGAGGTATCCATTGAAAAGCTCATCACCATTGTTTGAAATAAGAATAATTAACTCTTTACTTCTATTCTTTTGAGAATGTATACTTTATTAAAAGAAGGTGACTTTTGCTGCTGCAGCAATCATTGGAAAAATTGAATTGAACAATTTAAAAAGACTGTCTTCCACTAGCCTTCTGGTATTAAAAAAAAAACTGTTTGGTATGCTGATGGGCTAGATACTAATGAAAAAAAATCGCTTTTTGTGAAGTCTCTAAACATTTTTGCATTATTTCTTTTCAGAAGTCCTCCCTGGGAAACTTTCATTAAACAGTTGATCAACATATTAAAGGATGGCAGGTTGACTATTTTAATAGTTGTTAGCTCAGTATTGAGAAGGTAACCCACCTTTTCTGGTAGGGGTAGTGGTTAGCATTTTATAGGTTTCCTGGTAATTACTGTTTTAAAAGGCTCACAAACTAACTTTTCTGCACTCCATTCAACCCCTTTAAAAAAAAAAAAAAAAGTGTTCAATACTACTTCACGGACCCTTGAAAACAAAATCCTCATGCGCCTACCCATACATAGTATAAAACAGTGACTCAGATCCAAATTTGTATTGTAGTGCAATAATTTAAGGTTGGTTATCTCTTACTGATACAATTTAAATAAGTTTTTACAGTATGGTGACTGTTCTGAGGCTTCTACCTGTGCATGGCAAGCTCAAGCTGAGTTGTAAAAATTGTATGGATTTCAGTTGCTTACTGTTGAGTGGCTTCTTGAAATCTATTTCAGTTGAAAATGCAAGACAAATTCAGGTAATAAAGTCACAAGCATACCTTTAAAAAAAACTAAAGCCTAATTTAAAAGGCGCAAGTGTATTGAGGCTTTTTCACAACTTTCCTTTGAAGCATAATTAGTTTGTTTACTAGTGTTAAAAACAGCTGTGAAAAACTGGAGGTTACTGTATAATAGCTGATCCAAATATTGGAAGCATATGGAACACTTGTTAATATTTTGACTGCTATTCTAATTTAATAGTTTTACTTGCAGCCCAAGATGGCATTTTAATTTTGTTATTTATTGTAGTACTCAGTATATCTTTTCCTAGTTATTTGTTCTTTAGCAAAATTACTTTGGAATGTATGGTTTGTATAGATAAAATGAGGGAGATGTCCTGAATTAAGGCTAAAATCCAGAAAAGCAAAAGGAATAAAAATGGCTAATCTTCAGAACTTACAATATTCCTTTTGAAAATGGAGAAACGTGAGGCTTTCAAAATGTCGTGTACCCCAAGGAGCTATTTAAAACGATGGCTCAAATCAGTGTTTGAGTTTGCATTTGAGTGAGTTGAATTCCTCCCCAGTCACTTTGCTTTGTTTCCTCCCAGCTGGTTCCCAGCAAATCCCTGCTCAGACCATTGGGTCCTCTGTCTTTCTCTGTGACTATGGAAACGTTGATGTTCTGACTTCCTAGGGTTTCAAGATTTAAGGTTTCCCAACTCCTAGACCAGTTTGCTGCTTAGGTTACCTAATTCTCAGGGCAGCAGGCTCATCACCCTCTCTAGAAGTGCCAGTCTTCCTAGCCATTGTGCATCTTCCACAGTAAATTGTCAAAATGCTGGCCACTGAGCTTGGCCTTAAACCAAGTAAGTTTTGAAATAACTAATATTCTGGTTGGTGATCAGTGGGAGCTGACTCACTTCTGAAAAATGCTTTGATTTGTTTTCCCCACAGCTTTATTTTGTTTTTATTTGGGGATGGGGGCCCGATATTTCAGAACACTTTAAGGTGTTTGGGGAAAGTAGGGTGCAGGGGAGGAGAGAGAGAGAAGGAACTGTGGTGTGTTATTTTTTCCCATCAGGGATAGCATATGCTGCCCTGCGGGTTTCCCCTTCTCTGCCGTGAACCTATGCTAATTTATATCTTGCTGCTGCAGCTTAGAGAAGAGGGCATTTACTAAAATAAATAAATTTCTTGATCTAGATTTTTCCAGCCTTTAGGAACTGGCACTTGGCAAGTTAAGTGTGTTACTGCATACTCTTAGCTGGTGACTTTGTAAATTACTGTAGCACTACTTTTGTTCTTGCTCTCTTTAAAATTTCATCATCTGGGATAGTCTTTCACAGAGTTTTGTACTGGGTATATTGTTGGAGATGAAGCTGTCCAAATAAAATCTTTCCAAAGTTACTCTTCAGTACATAATAAGAATGTATATAAATCTTGCACATAACCGTTTATTGCTTCACTTTGTGTTTGGAAGCTGTTCTATTATATTTGTAGTGTCTGAGAACTTTAAACTGAACACAGAACTTGAATTTTAGTTATTGAAAACAGATGGAAGTTTAGACTTCTAAAGCTGAACTGTACTATGTTGGTATAGTAACCCCTTAGAATGACTAATTTGAAATAATGTTGAATTACCTGACACTTGCTACTCTTGCTACTTGTGGTTTCTTAGTCCATTTAAAATGGTGTGAGCTAGCACTGCAGATTATTACCTGATCAGAAAGTAACTCCCAAAACACACAAAGTATGTTTAGAGAGGAGACACTGCTTTGTTCTGCGCAGGGTGCAAGGTGGAAGGTTTCCACAAATGGACCACACCTACTGAGGTTTTGAGTCCATACTTATACACTACAGTTAAAACATCACGCCTATCTAATGCATGTGTTCTGCCTAACTATTGCATATTCATTAAGTTGAGCAAGCATGACGTGTTGTTCTCTTGAGCAGTCATCCCAGAGTCTTCTACGCTTGTGCAGTGGTCTCTCGTGGTCTTTGGTGGTCTTTGGTGGTCCTTTGGGGAAGAATACCCCTCCTCCTTTTGTCCTCCTATGGGCATGTGTCATCTGAGGACACCAGGGTCTTTGTTTCTCTTGCCAACCCCTCATTTCTCAATGCGAAGGAGGATGTATGTCCTTAATTACTAAGTCCGTGACTCTGAAATGTCCGTTATCCGGTGCCTTGACTGTTACCCAAAGCATCCTCTATTGTAAGCAGAGTCTTAAACTAGATAAGCTTTACCTTGAGTATACATAAACAGTCCTTGAATAGCAAACATACCACACTTCCCACATTTTAGGTTTGTTTGCTTTAAGCTGTCACCGCCTTCTTATTTGTTAATCAGTCTTTTGAAGGCTTGAGGCAACAAGATGAAGGAAGCTGCCCCTGTCTGGCAAACAGCAATAGTAGGGGGGAAGGACTGATTTTGAAGGTGTGGTTTTGAGGGGGGGAGTTTTTCAGTTTTGTGGGGATTATGTAATGCTGGCTTAAATTGATTGTGGAAGTTGCAACAACAGGGTGGAAGTCCAATACCAGTGAAATTACTGGCAGGGGAGATTCTGGCTCCACCTAAAGATGGAACAACACTGTGTCATCTAGTTCATTGCTATCAGATATGTTAAAAAACAAACAAATTAGTTCTTGTTGTTACCGAGAGTTCTTGTTTTGTACCATTAAAAGCGGTTTTATACTGAATATACAAAATAATAAAATCATAAAGATAACGAATAAAAATATGAAAATTGGTCAGGATGCAAAACATACCCATAGCTACAAAGCCTCTTGAATGCAGACAGGTCAATGTTTTATGACTAGAAGTCTGTGTGTTGCCCAGTTTTAGACAATAGTTTAAAAAGATTTCAAACTTTAAACTGCATGATGTCTTTGTTCTAAAATGTGCTTAAAAGCTGCTTGTAGAACTGCATTTATACTACGCTGCACTGAGCAAAATCTATCACTTGGAAAAGACTAGAAATTAGACTTACCAGTGAAAATACTGTTCAGCAATTTCAAAGCTGCTGCTGTTAGTCCCAAAGGGAAGAACTAACAGTGTAAGGGTGCCTAAACCAAGGGCTAGTACTGGAAAAAATAGAAAGGAATGGCTAGTGTGGTGCATAATATTAGCTTCCCTTAAGCTTTCTAAGCAGATAAATCTTATTCTTGTTTTATTTTTTCCTCTTTTCTCCTTTTCTGTCCCCCTGCTGGTGACTCACATATGTATAGGTTAAATAATTTTTTTTTATTCAGTCTGGAAACAAAATGATTCTCACAAGCTAAAGTAGTGCTTGAATTAGAATTCTATGTGCTTGTAGGTAATGCAAGGAAAACAATGCTCTCTGCTAAATTTGGATTTTTCACTTTAATGTTACCTGCCTAGGACACGAAAATGGTTAGGCTGGTTTTCCGTGCTCCTGTAGCACAGCACAAAAATAGTAAGATGCAACCAGCGTTTGTACTTTGTCATCTTAGTTCTGGTTATGTTTTAAGAAGTAACAGAGCATGAAGCTAACTTCATCTCTTCTTAATGTTGGTCTCCAAGTGCTATGTGGTGTTATGTAGTAAGACATCTCTGACTGTGCTCTGGTGGAGTGCAGATCTAACATGACTATAACAGATTTTTCTGATGTT